TATTCATTACTGATTTAATAGGATTAACTTTTGAAACGTAATTACATAATTAATCAAATAATGTCAATATAATATTTACTAATAATCTACGTATCACTAAATTAATTTATTGCCATCTTAAAGCAATTACGGATAATAATTTAGGAGATATAATTACAATATATATCCGATATATTATCAAAATATATTTTACTACTAATGTTTATGGCAATGTGCCCCCCCCCCTTTTTTTTTTTAATATAAAAAGTCTTCCTATAAGAGTACAATTAATTACGATTAACGTGCTTTTCAAATGTTTCGTATGTAACTACATTTCATATGTATTGAATTTATATAAAAGTTATATATAAAATATGAATAAGAACTTTTAAATTTTTTGTCATAATAAAATTAACAAATAATAATATTAACAAAATTTTTAAATACCAACTATCCCATTCATACATACGTAATGCCCCAATTTATCATTTATTCATTTAACAAACTTGTTTATTTCATTTACATGTATTTATTATAAATATCCATATTATTTGATAATAATGACTAAAAATTAAAAAATACTATCCTGTATACAAATATATAACAGGTCTTGATAAAATGTTGAGTATTACATAAAGAAGATATTAAAAATATCTCGTCTATAAACCTAATTTTGACTGATAATAATATATTATAAATTATTATGTAAATTTATTTATGCTTCCTAACATTTCATAAAACTACTTAGATATTTTGAAAATTAATAGAATATAACTTTTGAAATTTTTAATAATACGTATTTCTATTAAATTAATACTATTTCCAAAGTACAAACAAATATTATAATTATAATAATTAATAAGATGAGAAAAATATATATAATAAATGCATTTTTCTTCATTGTTTATGTTAAATTTTTTCTTGAAGTACAGGGCACGTTTAATATGAAAGTATTTACTATTCAAGGCTCCTGAACATAGTGGAAAATTCCAATCGTTTCCACAAGCTGATGCAATAATTTATTAATTTTCCTGTATTGAATGTACTTTAAAGAGATCTTATAAAGTTTCTCATAACTGAACGGATTCTAAATTTTTCATTTCTTAATTTAATTACCATGGCGACATGGTAGTTGTGCAATTTTTCTTATGAAACAGGAATACAAATTAATTTTATACAACTTTACATTTCGATACTTTAATTTATCTTAATAATTATTATTATACATTATAATTAATAATCACTCACATACAAAAATGCGCAATATTGTTATGCTTTAAAAACTTTAATCAATCCACAGTTAATTATTTACATTCGAAACGACGAAGAACAAAGATTAAAAATCTATGAAAACTCTCACAAATTAAACGCGTATATTAGAAAATCGATATACATTACATTATTAAAGAAATTTTCTCATTTAATAAATTAAAATTCTCATTGGGAAGTTATAGCAAATATAATTCAAACAAAAATTAATATAAAATAAATTTCTATTTATAAAAAATTATTATATGTACTATTAGTAACTAGAAATATATCTTAAAATTTAGCCGAATTACTTTTGATTTGTGAACTTTAGAATTTATATAAAATTGATCCTATCAGTAAGTAATTAGATTGTAACAGATAGTTGTGTACGTGACAATTTCCATTATTGTTAATGCTTAATGTGTACTTAACATGTAAATACTTAATGTACATTACATTACGATTACGTAATGTAAAAAACTAAATCTAAGCTTTGAACTTTAACATTATCGATAAAAAAATTATTTAAATTGTATGCCTAAGTACAAAATTCTGACGTAAAATAAAAGAGTTCGTAATGTTATGGAATTGCACTTAAATAAAAGATCGATAATAAGAAAATAAATAGAAATATAATAAGAAATAAATTTTGAGAGCGTAATGTAGTTTTTCCATCTGTAATGAAACTAAATATATGAATAAAAGCTAAATAATTAAAAACTTTAATTAATAATTGTATGAAATTAAGAGTTACATTAGGAAATTTTATTTAAAATAGAGAAAAAAAGAGTAAATAAGCGAGTCATATCGCATAATAAAGACATAATTGTAACATCAAATAATAACGTGACTTTTTCAAAACGATCGAAATCTGAAAATATTATTTAATTGACTTATTGTAATAAGAATTATTTTGTATTTATTATTAATTGTAGAAATCTATTTTTTACTAAAAATTTTTTACAAACATTAAATACAGAAATTAATAAAGTTTTTTTTTTAAATTATGCATTTGCTCAAATTGTACAATTTGAATTAGTCAATAAACCAGCGTTTCAGACAGTAAATATTGAAATAACTGTGAAAATATTTACTCTTACCATTCTCGATGCACGTTGCATATCATAAGCAATACATTCAAACTTGGTTTTTTTTTTTTTTTAAATTCAATTTTGTATTTAAATTGATGTTTCACAAATACTTTTTTTTTTTTTTTTTTTTTTTTTTTTTATAAACTAAGGGCATTATTACTTGATCTATTTTATAATTCAAAACGAATACAAACAATCAAGTGTTACCTCGAACATTGAATTAACAGATTCAGAGCTGCGATTATTGTTGGAAATAATATTTTTTATTTATCTTTTTTATATACACGTAATTTATTATCATTGTAACACTCACTAATTATTTTGATGATTTATTATATAATCAATCATGTATAGTATAAGAATTGCCTCTCTTGTTAATCTGTCTTACGCTGTAATTATTTTTCGTAGCAATCGAACGACTATAATGCAATAATATTAATAGATTTTTTTTCTATTTTGCAGATAAATATATTTATATTATATAAAAATTAATAATATTATTATTATTATTAATTTAAAGCATAATGTTAAATATCTAGAGAATATCAATTACATTATTTCTGCAATATAAGTTCGAGAGAAATTGACTAATCTCAAAGATGATTTTTCGCATGTACGTCGTTGTTTATAATTAATAAATGCAATCGATTATATTTGCAAAATTAATGAAAAATTTTGTAAAGAATGTACTTTTTTTCTGAATTACCGTGCTCGTGCTCTTCAATCGTACCCCTACTTTGTTAAAAGAATGTAAATAAAATGTGATGATTGATAAACGTGAGCAGATATAACGATAATTCAGTCAAATGTAATGATAATTGTTTAAAATTATATTCAAATTGGCTGGCCTAGTTGCAGGCACAGAATTATAATATACAACAAAAATATTGAATGGCTAATGTATCTAATAAATTATAATTATTCTTTTATCTAATGAGAACCATGAAATGTAATTTACATTTTTTAAATATTGAACTTGGGTAATAATTAGGGTTATCTGCTTAGCCATAAAAAAAAAATCTACCTAAAATATCTAAATACTAATCTAAAAATCTAAAACTAGAATTTTCTGTTAAATAAACGCAGAAATCAAATTACATTCTCATACTTTTATCTAATTTAAACTCATAATTCGCTTAAAATTTCATACTATTTCAATTTTACTTTATATAAAGATAAACAACTTCGGATAATTTTTAAGTATAAAACTATCGGAAATAAATTTTAATTAAATATTTTAAATCCTTATTTATTCAAAATTAACAAGTCGTTTGTTCTATATATTATACGCTTTATGTGGTTTTGAAAATTTGTGTAACAATTTATATTTCCACCCTTCGATTTCAATCCAAAGCAATAAATTTTGTTAATTACTATTGTTTTACAATTATTTAATAACAAGAATAATTAATAACTATTTTTTAAACAAGAGCAGAAAAATAATTTTAATACAATTTTATTTTATTAAGAATATAGAATTTATTAAATTTTTTAAGATACAGATAAACCATACAGATAAATTATTCGATTGAAATAAAGTTTATCTTTTGAATCGTTAACATCAAATATATATTTGCAAGCGTGTATTTATAAATCTTGTCATAATTATAGAAGTGCTATTATATTTATATTATACTTGTGAAATTTATATGTGTAAATGTAGAGATGTTAATAATTAAAATCACTGTACCTTAATAAAAAAAATTGAATTTTTCATCGGAAAAGATATTCAATATAATTATTAACTAGACTTTCATATGTTTAAAGCAAAATATTTATCAAACATTGACATTGATATTAAAAGAGATATATTAAAAATAAAATAGATATTGAAAAAAGAATTAAAATTAAAAAAAAAAAAAAAAAAAAAAAAAAAAAAAAACAATGAAATAGTTTCGAAACTATAAAGTGTCTGGCATAATAATGAAATAAAATTAAATTATATTAGAATAATAATATTAGAACGCGATTAGCCTTGTAAAATAGCATAAAATTCTATGGTACCGTAAGTTTTATATATTAAATTAAAATAAAGGAAAAAGAGAGTATGGGAGTAGAAAGGGTAGAGTTATTATTTTATTGTTTACTTTTATCTATATAAACGATAATTACGCACGATATGTTCATCATAAATATAGACGTTGAGACAGAATAATTTAGATTAAGATTTAACTGAATGCACTTTCGAATTATCTATTTACATAAATACAAATATGATGTGTATGAAATTTATTTCTCTCTCTCTCTCTCTCTCTCTCTCTCTCACTCACTCACTCTTTTAATTTTATATTTAATTATTCCCATGTTTTTATGTAATATAAATAAAGCTTAAGAAGAGAAACAATTCAATAGTTTGAACCTTATTACATAAGACAACTAATATGGAATAAAAACATTCTTAATTGCATAGGGTTTATAATAAATATTAGCAATAATTCAAAGCACATTGAGAAAATTTTTATGAAAGCATCGTAATTGATTCGTCCAATCCGAAGATAATAGGATAAAAGCTATTTACGATTGTTAAATAATAATAAAATTAGACGGTCAATTGTTTCGGTAAGTCGAGCTATGATCAAAGACGAGACAGCGCCGCATGGCGTTGAATTCGCACAACTTTCAATGTTATGTGCAAAACGCCGTTTCGCAAAACACGGCGACCTCACTGTTCAACAAACTCGCACCTATAGAGCGCATTATTGCAAGTGTCGGCTATAGAGATACGAACATAGAGAAACAAAAATGAGGCTTATCTTACAACGTCACCACAACCACGATTGTCACGATCACAAGAGCCATCGTAATGAAAACAAGAGTCGAAGAATCTTAAAGAAGATAGCCAAGCTCGAGAAGAAATTGGAAAGATATAACATTAACGACACTTCGCCGGGCAATGATTTGTCCGCGAGCAGCCGCAGCAGCTCTCGATCTCGATCCCCTTCGAAATCACGTAACGAGCGTACGAAACCTCGCCGTGGCAAGCGAGAAAGGCGCTTTGAATTTTTTGACGAGAGCAGCGACAGTGATAGGGATTCGAATTTATCGGCCAGTGCACACTCAAAATTGATATCCGAGTACAAATCTAATCGTCGTCGCGCATCATGCAGTCTTCCAAGATCAAGGTCACTAGCTGCATACGATAATTGTCGCCGAGGGTCATTAGCTAGAGGGCATCATCGTCAACGACTTGGCCACCGCCATTCTCAGCATTGCAAATATTTACGACATCATTATCAAAATGGGATTGCAGGATGTCTTTTTAGGAACTTTGCGCAGAGTGAGCCGAATTTGCAAATCGCGGCGAATGAGCTTGATGGTGACGAAGCAAACGTTAACGAAGGTAAAGCTGAATCTGGTCATTATAATGATTCTGACCAAGAATCGGAGATAAATAGAATCTTATCGGACGACTCGTTGAAGATTATACAATATGGATTGCCAGCCGAGAAGAAGCGAGCTCTTTTGAAAAAGTACCGAGCGAACAAAAATTGCTTATTGCTAACGGGCCCGAAGTTAAATGACGAAATCTTACCAACAGCAACAAAAATGGGAATCAAAAGCGATGTCCTGGAAATGTACGAGCAGAATCAAATTGGCGCGGGTCTGGTAGCCTTGGGTCAGGCAATATCTGATTTGACTAATAAGTCGTCAGAATTTGAAAAGGACCACGATATTTCTAATATTTTACAAACTCTTAATGATGCTGCAGCTGTTATTCTCGATACTCAGTATAATATAACGAAGAAAAGACAATTGCTAATGTTACCAGAGTTACATAAAAAAGTTCGATCTGTCGTTAGAAATTGCCGAGCTGACGAGTGGCTGTACGGAAATGATTTTGGACAAAAAATTAAGAATGCCAAGATTTTGAGAAAGGAACAAAAGAGCTGCAAGAAAGGCATTTTAATAAATCCATGTGATGAAACAAAGACGTGCAAATATCATAACTATGACGATGAAGAACTAGAGAAGCATTTGGATTAATCAGATTTATATAAGAGAGTCACAAATATTGTCGCAAATTCGAAAAACCTTACAATTGAAGTCATTGTCGAATGTAAGTAAAACAGTAAGTTAGCTGAATATGCTTAGATGTAAAAAAATTAAAAAATTTCTTAAATTGTATTAGATTATATAAATTACAATTTTTTTTTTTTTTTTTATTTACACGGTACGCATTCGAAGGATACTACAAACTCTATAACAGTATAACGATTATTTAAGTTTAATTTCTACTCCCTCGCATAAGCCATTGACAGTTATAATAAATTCTCCTAATCACTACATTATTAATTATAGCTTTATTTATTGATCATGGCATTGAAAACATTATATTATTTAAACAATTGTATACATGAGTAGTGATACATTGCTTGCGTGATCATTGCTTTTCTTATGTCTAACTATAACTACTTATAATGTATTACTATAGTAGTTGTATTAGGACTTAATATGACTGACATACTTTCTCTGAGCCTACGGATTTAAAATTTCCAATCTTTTATTTTGTAATGTACTATGAGCCTGTAATTGAATCAATACAATTATGAATATTTCTAGATTTGTAACCTGAACAAATTTCTAGTAACAAAAATAATTCAATCATTAATATAGCTTTTTAATAATTTATTTATAATATGCTACTTTATATATAAGCGATAAATTACACACTATTAAGCATGGAAATTAAATTAAAAGAATTAAATAATTAAGAAAAAATTAAAAATTTGTTATTTTAGAAAGTAGTGTAAATTAATATTATAAGTAGTGAAGTAATATGAATATATATATATATATATATATATATATATATATATATATATATATTGATAAATCATATAACAAAAGTTTTAATTTCCAACCTATCGTCTAATTAATTAACTAGAATATTTTTGAAATAAAAATGAACGTAAAACTATATCGTTACAATTCAAATTATAAATACTTATATCAAATGTTAATGATTTGAAACGTTATATGTCATTTAAATTAAAAAAAAATTAAAAAAAATTAAAAAAAAAAAAGTAATATTCCTTGAAAAACTGACTCAATAAAAATATTGCTTTTGATACAACAGAATAACAAATCATAAGTGATTTTAATATGATTAAACATTAAATAAAATTATTATTATTATTATTTACATATATTGGCAATTTTTTCATAAATTTTTTTTTCCTTTATATGCATGCATAACAAAAAATAAAACTCTATTGAGTATAAATATTAATAATCTTAATAGCATTTTTCTCTCTTCAATTTTTATTATTTTCTTTATAATTTAAATAATGCACAGACAATAAACAAACAATAAAAATACTTGTTACATCATAGCCTTTTTTACAATTTTTATATTTACACTTTCTTAAAGTTTTGTAATTTTATAAAATTAATATTTTTACAAACTAAACGGTAGTAATCTAGATGTTTCGATCATATAAAATATATTAGAGTTTATTAGAATATATTCGAAAGGTAATTACTTTTCAATCACGATAAAATGTAATTATGATTTAAAATATAATATATTGCTTTTACGTGCATTAAAAAAAAAGTTATTATTTTTTTCAATTGCATCAATAGTAATAGTGTATGCATATTGCAAGATGCCCGTGCTTATTAATTGTAAGCACAAAAAACAACGAGAGAGAGAGAGAGAGAGAGAGAGAGAGAGAGAGAGAGAGAGAGATTAATACAATGTCGCCACGTGATTTTTCGAATGCAATATCGGAAGGTTATTGCGTAATAAATACATTGCCTCGCGATATAAAATCTATGAAAAGGTTTTATGCTCCACCCTTTCGTTGATACATAAATATTACTTGCTCGTTCCTTCATTACATAATAATTTCTTTATGTTATAATTTTCTAAACTACAAATAATATACGTTACAGAAATCATCTACTTGGGCGTAAGTAAATAATAAAGTAATATTTAAAAATGAAGAAAAAACAATTTTATATATTAATGGACATTACTTTTTAATATTCATCCTTAATCACTTATTTATCTATACCAACTTTCTCATAAAATGAATTAGAATGTAAATGATTCATATTTGCTTATCATATGACAATGGTTATATAAAATCTTTAATACGATAACGCAACTTGCATTAAAGTAAATATTTTATAAACTAAATTATTACGATGCTCTACATATTACTTTATGCCCATTGAAATATATTTATATTCACTTTAATTTATGAATTCATTAACAAAATATCAATACAAACTTTGCCTACATAAATCACAAACAGAAATAAAGGCTTTTACAACGTGATTTAAGATATGTAAAAAAGATATATAAAAAAGTTTATGATAAAGATTTTTGTTGCTGTTTTATTCAGCTTCAGTTATTGTATTATCTAACTTTTAATAACAAATTTTATACATTATTCAGATAAAGGTATTTTTATTAATTAGAAGGTGTTTCTTTGGCGCGATAAATATTTTTGTTATAAAGTAGCAATATGACTATACTGCTCTTATTTACCGAACATTCAATATATTTAATTAATCAATGATAACAGAGAATAATTAATAAGCCGCAATGTAAGATTAAACGCCAAAAAGTAATTTCATTATTTACACAATACAAAATATATTTAGCATTATTATGATGATTGATAATGACGATGAAAAATTTTCACCACTTAATTATAATCATAGTTATAATAGTCTTTTTTAACGGTCTATTGTATAATCAATATCAATAATTAATTAAGAAATAAGAGGAAATACTAATATACCCTATTATGATCTTATTTATGCTCATTGACCTAAAAGCATGACTGTTTATTTTTTTTTTTTTTTTTTTATTATTATTTTTTTTTTTATTTAATAATTCATGTTTTATTATCACTAGAGATTAAATTGATTCAATAAGTAATTGATATGCGGATTTAATATTATAAACAATGTATTTACTTTTAATATAAACATCGCATAAATTGATATTTTGTTATTGTTACATAATAAATACTTATTTCATTTTACTTTAGAGTAATTTTAATCATTTTTTCTTATTTGCAGATATAATACAATGTGGTGTTTTCAGTCAGAAATGGCGACTTTTAAGGATTTAACAGAATAGAAATAAGATTTTATAGTTTGTAGAATAATACTAACCCTAATATGATGGCTTCATACATAATAAATAAAATATTACAATAATACTAATATCATATTATTCAGAAATTTCTAATTTTTATATAAATATAAGATAATATTTTTTAATTTTGTACTGGCAATGGTGGTAAATAAAGGATAATAAATAATCTTTATATTACGTTAATTCGTCGTTTAAGTCTTTATGAAATTAAGCAAAAATGCAATTTATTAATTTGCTTTTATAATTCATACGTTTATATTAAATAATAATGATAATTATAACAATGATATATGAGAATAAACAAAACAAACAAAAAAAAATGCATTTGTTAAATGAACGATTCGAGTAGAATATCCGATATTATACATTTAAAATTCAATGAAAATACATTATTTACATAGATAATTGTTTATTGTAAACATTCAATTTGCATTTTAATAATATTAATATTAAATGTATTGATATATTAAAAATTAATCATACGAAGAAAAATTTATTAACATATTTAACGGGACAACTTTCTATGTAAGCAAAAGTTATTTTATCAAAGGTGTGTTTATCAAACGTCCTTCTTTAGATAAAGAAAAAATTAGGTAATTTGTTATGTTTTGATTTTGGTATGATTTAATACTATTAGATTACAATTATATAATTTCAGTATTACAAATAACAATTATAAATGAAGAACGTACCTCAAATATTCTGCATAAATAAGTATAAAAATAATAAATTCTGTATACATAAGTAAATAAATAAGTATAATGATTTATGAAATTTCATCATTAATTCTGTAGTATGCAAATAATAATATTAACTTGAAATTAAAATAACCTATACGATGGATAAAGAATTAACAATTATAATAATAAAATTTAAAAAATACTTTTATATATTCTAAGAAATATGCAAATATTATGTGTAATGTACTTATTAATTTTTTTGTTAAACTTTCTAAGAAATTTTTTTTTAAGATTTTACGAATAACAATAAAATAATTTCATTAATTGTTTTATATTCATCTGATTAATTTAAAGTTTAAGTTGTATTAAAAGATTGTTAAAATTGTTATATTTTGCTCATATTAACAATAGAGATTTTAACAAATATATTGTTAAACAAACGATATTCTCTATAGTTATGGCTTTATATTACAGAAAAGTAATGGTTATTAAATGCTTTTTTTTTCTTTGTTTTTTTTTTTACTAAACGATGTTTTGACAATATATAATTAATATTTTAAATACATTTATGACTGTTTATATATTGCAAGTAATTTTATTTTAATTTCATAATTAAATTCCATACATAAATTTTAATATATTATTAGAAATATCGTTGTAACGAGTGATTGTTCGTTAAAAAAAATAATATATAACCTTGATTAATTAAGGTTCTGATGCACTTGGAGATACAAATACAAAAAAAAAAAAGCAATTTTATAAATCTCCATTATCGTGATTAATGTAAGATTAACAAGATTTTATCTTTACCCGAAATTAAAATAACAATTCTAATAAGAACAAAAGTTATTGCTCCGATATAAAATTATATTTACTTATTTTATTAATGGTCATGCAAACAGATTCTCATAAACATTCATACGATGCAATGAAATAATGCAAAATAATAAATGCAACTGCATTAGGTTAATGTATTAAGTATATTAGTAATTTTATAAATTTGCCGCAAAATATGTAAATTTCAATTTCAATTAAATTGATATTCTTAGATTATCATCTTAATTTTATTACGAAATAATATATATAAAATACAATAAATAAGATAGCTTTTTGTCATTTTAAATAATTTATTTTGGGTTACAATAATAAATGTTTATCTAATCACTTATGCATTTATAAACAATTTACGTAACTCAATTATGGCTTATATGAAAATTAAATTATCATAAAACGATGTTGACGTAAAAATTTAACGTA